TGTTCTTGTCTTGATACATGTTGAATATTGTGTAAATAAAGAGATGATGTACAGAAAAACATACACACAGGTCTGCCGGTAACCCTAATGCATGCTAAAATACAGTAATGGAAGGGTGTTGTGCAATACCTGTCAGAAGAAGAAAGCAGTCCTCACAGTTTTTATATAACCTACTTTTCACCACTAATTTAAATATATTCTACAGGTTTAATAATATTAGTGGACATTTCCCTTGTATGAGCTACACATGCAATAAAACATCACATTTGACTGGCTTACCATAATAGTCATAATAATAGTGTCGCTCTTGGAAGTGGAGAATGAGTGAAAACCTGACTCTGAATATTCCACTTTGTAGAGTTCCTTCTCCCCACAGGGCAATCTCTCTGCTTTGCTAATGCAAAATCCAAAAAATATGATACAAGATAAAAGTTTTTTGTTTTTTTTACAGTTTGGAACATGACAAAACATATAAAAAGTTTTGGCCGCTTAAACCTTAATCATCATTCTACTTTATTTACTGAATTTCAGATTTAAGGCAAAAATAGCTGAATTGGAAAAATTCACCAACCTTCCAGTTTGTGGTATTGTGGTTCAATATTTTAAACTCACTGTGAATTTAATTTTAATTCTCCCTTTAGTAAGTGACCCTGCTTATATTAGAATCAACATACATTACATAATCTGCTTTTTAAACCCTGGTATGTACCATGGCTAGTTATGAGTCTCTTATTCTGCTCTACTGATTCAAATTTGCTGAACAGAAAAAAAATGCATGCAGATACAGTGGAGACTGTTTCGAGAGGGTATAGGCTATGCCACAGTAAGGTGCATGCTTAAGAAGTGTAGCCACCAAAGGGATTTTATAACATACCAAAAATACCTTCCCCAGGTAGACCACATTGAAAATGTCCATTAAAATGAGTCACTTACCTAACCACATTGTCATCTGTAATAGTATATTATGTCCTTGCAGCACTCTGCAAATGATACTTCAAAGCCAGTTTTGGACCTACCTTGCCCCCACTAGGCTCTAGATTATCCATCCATTTGGAATCACTTTGAGTGTTTAATGAAAGCAAAGTACAGATTCTATGTCAAGTAAGTGAGGAAGTGGTGTATCTCACTAGTGCCGGTATAAAGTAGCATCTGATTCTGAATTACTGAGAGAAGAAGCAGAACCAAAAAGTACTAGGGCAGGCACGAGATCTAATAGTGCTGTATCTGATTTTGTACAGTTGTCACAACCTGCCACCAGTGCCACCTCCTCCACTGCCTTTACCACCACCTTTAGGCAGAGAAGAGACAATTAGGATAGTGGAGGGGTTCCCAACCCAGTCCTCAAGTACTATCTACTAGTCCAGGAATTAAAGATTACCCTGCTGTGTCTAAAGTATAACCTCTAAATCCTGGACTGTTAGTGGGTACTTAAATACTGGGTTGGAAACCACTGGGATAGTTCCACTAGTAGACAAAGGACAGGAACAGTCACACCGCTTGTTATCCAGTGATAATTCAAAAATGGAAGGAAAAAAATAGTGGTTATTTGCTCACATCCTATTTATTTATTTTAATCCAGGTATATAATCTAATGTTGGCATTGGCATGGCAAAAATGGATGATATTGCCTAGCTTTTAGGTCAGGCAACATTGTATGCATTTTTGCATGTCAAAACATTGACAGGCAGCATTTTATTCCTGCTGTTCCAGCTGTCTAAATGGCTTTCCTGATATTATTTTTCCATAAGCCAAAAATTGGCATGTATGACATGTGATGTAAAGCTCACTACTGTTATTAGTTGATTTAGGGAAACCCCACATCTGTTCTCACTGAATCTCCTATCTGCCTTTAAATGAAAAACACTCAGTTTTTCAAATGAGGGTAAATGTTAAATAATATCCAGAGAATTTACACCAAAATAGAAGAGCTGGAAAAATTCTGCAGACCTACTCCATTATTTGACCTATGTTTTGCATGCTTGGCTTGTACTTTTTTTTTTTTTTGTGAATAAATGATTTTCTGAAGATAACAATACTGTTAATTATGTTTTATTAGAGGACTATTCTAGCAGAATTGTATTATTCTGTTTGTGGGGTTAAGGTTACTGACATTCCTCATTTAGCCTCCATAACATTCACCACTTAATATAATGGCTATAAAATTCTTCTTCATTATGATACTGTTTCTGCTTGGAATGGAACTGATTATCTACACCAGACTGAAGGGCAAATCACTTCATTTCTAATGAAAATTGACAAAGCATATATATGTATATGTATATGTGTATGTATTGCATAAAATGCAGCAAACAATAGCTCAAAACATGAACAGACTTGAAGAATTTAATGGGAGACTAAATGAACTAATCATATTTATTTTTCAGGGATTTTGTGCCTAGTATGTTTAACTGCTTCAAATCTTTTTCATTTAAATAAATATACTACAGGTGATAGGCAGCTTTCATACATTTATATTGTGTACATGTATTGTTCAGAGCATAGGTGGAAATTCTGCCAGTGTAGCCTGTGCATCTGCAGATGTGCAGGCTTCACTGGTGGAAGTCTACACTTAGGGAAAACCTGACAGGCAGAAAGGTCTCAACAGGGTCCCTGTCGGGTGTTGAGCCACTTTGGCAGTAAGACCAGGCCCTGTTAAATTGTGCAGAGACTGGATCCATTTAAGAGAGTGCTGGGAGAAAGTAACTAGATGTGACTTCCACCGAGTTTACAGTCAACGCAGGCCTGGAGGGCTGAGGAAGCACAGAGAGAGGAGGAGGGAGCACTGCAGACAGAAAGCTTCAGACTCCTATCAAGATCAGCAAGCCTCAGGAAGTCACCCTTCCTGCACCAAGGTTTGGAAACGGGGGAGAAGGAATTGCAATTTGTGTGTGTTACAGTGTGTATGGTTAGGTATGTGTGTTCATCTGTGTGCCAATGTGTATCTGTGTGTGTGCCAGTGCAGGTATGCGTATAAATGTGTGTTAGTGTGCATCTATGTGTATCAATAAGCAAGTGTGTGTATCTGTGTGTGTCAGTTTGCATCTGTGGCGAACAGAAGCTCATCAAAGGCTTTAGGAGGGGCCTGCTTGCGACTGTAAAGACCCATATTTTATTCCCCCTGGTTCTCCTTGTTTGGCACTTTCCATCGACTTCATGGGGACTTAGCCACTAATGCCCTGGAATTATTTTTGGCAAGAAAACTTTGCGTTTCCCGGTCGATCCCCCAGCGGCACTTAGCCGTGATTCTATGGAACTGTTTTGGGCATAGGACTATGCATACAGTTGGCCAAAACTATGACTTTCAGGAAATTCCTGAATCGATCTGGGTGATTTCTGGATATATTATTAACCCAGATCGGGGCTATCAGAAGATGTAACTTTTGTGGGGTTTTGTATGTTTTAAAGGTATTTTGGGGGTTTTATAATAATGTGTGGTTTTGTGTCTGGAGATAATTGAGTTAATACAGTACTTGACTCAATTATCTCCCAGGTACAGAGGAGGGATTGACCTAGTTTGTATGGGAGTGTCCTGGATCTGAGAGCCAATGTGATTGTGTATTTATTTCTACTGTGGTTTACTTTCAGATCCAGGAGTGCCCCTTGCATGGGGACTGTAATAAAAAGAGAGGGGGGGTCCCATTAAAGTCAGTTCACTTCACCCTCAACATGCAGCCTCGTCTTGTGATTATAGGGATCAGTTATACCAGCTATACCTGCTTCGGATTGCTATACTGGCTATATTCACTAGCTCTTGTAAGCTACACAGCTATACCTGCAAGACTCTCTGGAGTAGGAGAGGTCCACCCACTGGAAGCTGGATCCTGGGCTTGGGTCCAGGGTTGTTGGAGGACAAAGAGACCCCAGCCAACCAACGGTGGCTAAGGGGCTACAGTGCTTATGGTGTCCAGTGCGGTGCTTATAGTACTCCAGGCTACTATGAAGCAGAGATTGACAGAGGCACCCAG